CAATAAACTTGAATAATTATAATAACGTTTTATGTCATTGCTATCCAGAGAGACCGGATACAAGATGGCCTTGCGCAAAAGATGCGTTGTTCCCCGACCGCCGAAAGCGGTTAAGCCGCGCACTTCCGCGGGACTGGGCGCACGCGACCGCGGGATGTTATGGTCCGCTATACGCATTCGCGCGCCCGCCTTCCTTCGGCGGGGAGCTATACGCATAACATCCCGCGGTCGCGTGCGCCCAGTCCCGCGGAAGTGCGCGGCTTAACCGCTTTCGGCGGTCGGGGAACAACGCATCTTTTGCGCAAGGCCATCTTGTATCCGGTCTCTCTGGATAGCAATGACATAAAACGTTATTATAATTATTCAAGTTTATTGATGAAGCTGGTGTGGATTATTTTTCAGATGATAAATATGGAAAGTATGTATGTTCATTGCTCTATAAATGACTATTATATCTATTATTATTTTATTTACAAGTAGCTAGGTGACCTAAACGGCCAAAACAGAATTCTATTTATAAGCCCAAGGGCATAGAAACCCCTTTCACATTGAGTTTCTATTTGGTGAAAAATAACTACACAATAGACAATTACATCTATGAACAAACTACTAAAAATTAATCCGACCATCAACCGCTACAACAGTGAACCACTGATCCACATATCTATGTTTCTTTTCCAAGTCTAATAACAGTCGATGCATATACTTTACGAGCATTTAGCATATTATAAAATATATTATACATATATAACAGTCAGTTGCAAAACCGTGCATGAAGATATATAAAATCAGTGATTATATTTCAAGGTGGGCTATTAAAAGATTGTAAGCCTCGCTGATAGGCTGTCAGATATCAGATTCTATTTTGATTCCTGATATGAATAGTTACAATGAGGTACTATAACACGATCAAATACCATTATAGTGGCCTTTTTCAAATTTTACAAGTCATTGAGTCCCGTTTTATCCACCTCTAGTTTTATATATATTGTATCATTCTTAAGGTATAAGTTGCTGCTTTCCAGTATTTTCTGTTGAACGAAGAATGGGCATCCTGATGCTCTGTTAGTTTCACGTGTCGGCCTTTGAAAAGAGCTGGATTTCACATCGGGAAGAAATTGATCAACCAGATGATGCCCTGTTCCGCTTTGATCCAGTAATGTTAAAGTAACCTGCAATGTAAATGCCATAAATGCATGTATCACATTAATCACCAATCATTTCTTAAAAGTCAAATTCATATTATGATATAGGACACCAAGAAGTTATTCTATTGTTATGCAGAAACTATGCATTGTAAAATTAGTAAGTCATGTCCCTTTTCAAGAAAATGCCATTTTAATGACAGAAAACGTTCGAAGTTCGGTTTACACAAAAAATAATTTCTTATTGTAATCAACACCAATATCAATCAGCTTAGTATGTCAATACAACCGAATACCTTCATGCCTATTAAAACATGATAATAACACTTTACACACCTTCTGCTTAAATGGCCAAGGGAGTAGGAAGTCATACTCTCCACTCATGATGACAAAATATAAAGACACGTAGGTGTCCTTGGCTTCTCCATCACCGTGCAGGTACGCCCGACCACCGACCTTGTACCCATATCTGTGCAGATGCATATACAGTATGTTTACGCCTACAATTTACAGCACTTCTAACTAGCTGTTATTACTTGTCATTAGTTGCATAACGTAAAGATTGGCGTTACCAAAGAGCCTATATTGATCAATATAGGCTCTTTGGCGTTACTCAATAAGTGACGAGAAGAAAAGACTGTGGCAAGGACGTACCGGAAGAACAACAATAACTGAAAAGAAGTACGGGAAAACGATGTCTTTATTAAAAAAACGTAACGATACTGCTGAATGGAAAAGTTTAGCACCATTGTATCAGGCACTGAGCCAGCCAAACTGAGCAACGACAAGTCGTGACTCCCTTTTATTTGAATGGGTTGAGATCCCCTGAAGGGGGATCTGGACTGGGGTAATACTAGGACAATGAGTCTGGACTTCCATTCTACCCACTTTCCATTTTCTACGTTAATGGCCCTTGTTACCTATGGCATGTTTTTTGTTTCATAATTCGATTTTTTGTTTTATGGTTGATTTTATCACATATAACATTCACGGATCGAATGCTTCGATTCACGGATCGAATGCTTCGATTTACGGATCGAATACTTCGATTCACGGATCGAATGCTTCGATTCACGGATCGAATGCATCGATTCACGGATCAAATGCTTCGATTCACGGATCGAATGCTTCGAATCACGGATCTAATGCTTGCATTTAC